CCTTGGTATCTTCAAGACCTCATGAAGAAATTGAAGAGCAATGAACATTTCTTCTCTGTTTTTGCTCTGCAAAAGATGCGCAAAAGGAGCTACTCGAGTATGTTGATAGATATACTTCCTGTTAAGTCCATCAAACTGCATGCATTTGACTAAAATACTAGCCAAAGAGATGAATTCTCCTGAGTTTCCACATTTTGCAACATCAAGAAGTCCACAAAGAACAGAAGGAGAGCTGATTGCAGCCAAGTGCATTGTGTTTGTAGCATGATCAAAAGCAGTAATAAGCACTTCAATTATCATCAATGATGCAGCAGGTGGCGTCAAAAGAGAAGACGAAGGCCTAAATGTGTAACAAGAAGAAACAGAAGAAGTGGATGCAACAACATCAACAAGAGCTGGTAAAAGCTCAAGACTCTTGATTTCTGTTGGAGATGGCTTTATAAGGTATATGAGAATAGCTGCTTCTTGAACATTTTGTTTCAAGGCATTTGCTAAATGACTTAAGTTTAAGCCTTTCCTCTTGATCTCTTCAAGAGCTGTTGTATTGACTGATATGATCTTGGTAAGTGCGGTCATCGATGCTTTTATCACGGTTTTCTCCTCGGAACTAGAAATAGCCGTAAGAAGCTGATCAAGAATGACATCTTTGAGCATGCTATATTTGACTCCTTGTTTTCCGTTCAGCATTTGATAGATCATTGTAACCTCTGATACATATTTCTCATCGGCATTCCCAAGCAAACCCTTTATCAAGTACTGAATGTTCTTCCATAGATCCATTCTCCGAGCTCTTCTAGAACGTGTCTCAAGTCCATTTCCTCGTTTCTTGGTTTGCAAATTTTTCCTCATTCCTTCAAAATTTATGCACCCTTTATGTCCAAATACTGACATTTCTTCCAACTCTAGTTGCCTCAAAGAAGAGACATCTTCTATTGTCTTTGATTGCTGAGCCTGAATGTCAAAGATGGATCGGTTAAAACTACCAATAAAACTGTGGGAACTGCTGGCTAATGAGTCCTCGTTATATGTTTTGTTTGCTTTCTTGTGAGCTTGTCGTTGGGAAACATGGAAGATGTTGGCTAATGTGTCCTGAATTCACTATACAGTTTGTGAAAAATGTTTTTTAACTCATTTTCTTTTTCTTTTTGTTTTCTCTCTGAAATGTTAAGCAATGGAAAGTGTTCGGTTAGAGAAAATTACCGTGCCAATGTCTTCTCTAATCTCTGGATTGTAATCTTCCTGCAGGTTCCAATCCAAACATGGAGAATAGCTGTTTGCAGATTTTTCAATCTTTCTTGATGCTTTGATTTTGTTGAAGATGTCATTAAGCTCATCCTCTTGCAAATCAACACTGTGGAGGTTTTGGTACTGCAATAACTTCTTCAAAATGGAGGACAAGAAATTAAAGAAGGTTAAAGGTTAAATATCATTAAGCATCTCCAAAAAAAAAAAACATGTATGGTCATTTAGTAAACCTACCTCGCAGGTTTCAGACAACTCTAGCTTCTCTGCAACTGAATGTCCAATAGCTGCAAATACTTCTTGCCTGTTCATGTGTAGAGATTAGAAACAACATTGTACATGGTTCTTGAATTTTCTCTGTTTCAAGAAGCAAACATAAAGAGAAACAGAACTAATCTATTTTTTGTTTTGTTTCTAATTATAAAGCTTGGAATCCATACCCGTATTTCTTCGGTTTACGAAGCGGTTTCTCGTTAATATCTCCATAAGACATAACCTGGTAATAAGTTGCTCTGTATTTATACTTCCTTGCAATCTCTCTAATCTCATCATCTGACTTAGACACACCACAAGTGAAGAAAATGCTCTCGCATAGTTCAGGGGCAATGTCGGTTCTTACGATATCAGGCGAGACCAAAACCGACTGAAGAAAATGCAATGTGGGCTGCAAGGAATCACCTTGGAGATAGCTTACAATGGAGAGGTAAAAGTAAGAGAAAGAAACCAAGATTGTGTTTGGAACACCTGAACTTGTTGTCCCTTGTTCATCAAGCAACGCAGGCATTTGAAGCATCCTCTCTGAGTTTCTCAAACGAGACATCTTCTCTTCTTCTGAGTATTCGTCTTGTATCGAAGAGGCTTCGATGCTTTCGATTCCCCAATAGAGATTAGAGAGAGCAGATTGTTCAGAGGAGAATTCAAACAGAGTACTATTCTCCTCTTCAATGTTCAGCATTGTGATGCATTTCTGTTTAAGTGAAATCCATTCTTCTTGGTCTGATATTACACCGAGAATGTAGTCGTTGATCGAAACTACGATCGCTCGAATCGAATCATGAGGTGGATTCTCGTTACATGAGATGAAATTTGAAGGAGAAGGTGAAAGGTAAGCCATTTTTTTCTCATAGTTTTGTTGTTGCACACAAGTTTTGATGGGTTTTATTATGAGATAAGATGAGAGAAGTTGTGTAGTGAGAGATT